GTCCTAAGATTTCTGGATACAAGTTTCTGTATTTTCAAGGACTTCATTCACGGGATTTCCCCTGATTTTCCTGTATCATTAATACCCCTCTCTTCTGAATCATCCCTATGCCTGTAGATGTGTTCCAATATCCGTAACCTTCAAAAACAAACAAAAAGATGAAACAAAACCCTCTTCCTTAATGCCCTGCTATACTCATTTGTTGTGCTCCTTTTCACAGACCTACTTCTTGAAAAAGGCATTTGTCATCACTGTCTCCACTTTCTCACCCCAATTTATTTACTACCTTTTTGCTTCTGTCTCCACATTGCCAAATTCAGTCACTTTTCTATTCTTACTTTATTATGTCTCTGTCAGTATCCAACAAAGTTGGCCATTCTCTCCAGCCTGAAATACTTTTTTTTAAATAGTATATTTTGTCATCTGTAACACCATAGACGTTTGGTCTTCATCTTACAATCCTTTTCAGTTTTCCTCTTACCATCTCATATTAGATTCTTCTTCTGGAATACTTTTACCAGTTCTTCTGTCTTTGCATAATGAATAAATGTAGAGCGTTTCTGGAAATCTTTTTCTGTAGCTCTCTTTAGGTGACTCCTGCAGTTGCTTGGTGACCTGTGTGAGCCATGTATCTATGACTCTCAAGTATAATCTCCCCTCGACTTCAGACTTGGCCACCCAACACCCAACCACCATCTTGAAATGCCCACTTGGATGTCCAACAGATTTCTCAAACTTCACAGTAACAAAACAAGAGTCCTAGATTTCTCTCCTCCAATCCTGGTCCACCTCCCCTATCCTTCTACGTCTTGGTAAATATCACCACTCTCCTCTTCAGAACCTCAGGAGAGAAATCTGAATTATTCCTATTTACTTCCTCATTACCATACTAACTGAATTAGTATGCCCTGTTGCCTCTATCTGTGAAACATCTAAGCCCGTTCACTTTTTAAAACATTCTTTAAATATTTTTGTTAATGCATAATAAATGTACATAGTTTTTGGGCACATGTGATTATTTAATACATTAATCTAATTTGTGAAGAGCAAGTCAGTGTACTTAGGATATCCAACACCTTAAAAGATTTGTTTTTTTTACAAGCTAGTAACATTCAAATTATTCTCTTCCAGCTATGTTGAAATGTACAATAGATTATTATAAATTCTAGTCACCCTACTGATCCATCTAATGCTAGACCTTATTTCTTCTATTAAACTGTATATTTGTAACCATTAGTCAACTTCTCTTCATGGTCCCTTTTATCCATATCCATTTCTACCGCCCAAGTTGAAGTTACTATCCTATCCTGCCTGGGCTATGCGTGGTATCCTAACTTCAAGCTCATTGGTCTCTTTCAATTTCTTGAAAATACCAAGAAGATCCTTTCCAGTTTGGTGTCTCAAAGGTTAACTGCTTCCTCTACCTGGAACACTCTTCCCTTGATCGTGGCATGATTTGCTTTTCCTTGTCATTCCATGAAAATAACTTTTCCTCTGAAAAGCCTTAGCCAAGCCCCTAAAGTAGCCCCACAGTCCCTTCCACTCTCCTGAGCGCTTGTCACCATCTGATCATGTTTGTTGGTGTGTGTGTTTGTTGACTGTCTGGAATATAAGCTTCACAAGGGCAGCTATGTATCCTATTCCAATGGGACACCCTCAACACGAAGGCAGGGCCTGTTACAGCACAGTCCTCAATAAATACTTGATAACAAAATAAATAATTTATGTTACATTTTGAAATAATTCTTATGTTCTTAGTTACACCTTAGTTGTATCTAGGAGATTGATAATAAATACTGGGATACTAAATTACCTTTTACAATTATATTTAAGCCTTCTAAATAATAATTTCTGAGTTAACAGTAATAAGACAAATGAAGATTGACATGGCTCACAATTATTAATCAGCTACCATAACTAGTAAAAAAATAATCAAGAAAATGTTATGGATTTGGCCTCTCAAATTATGACCCTGTTGAATTATACAAAATATGAACAAAGAATAATTTCTCCAACATTATTGAAATGTACTGTATAATTAAAAATTAGTACAAGCATTTAAAACTAAAAGTAAATATATGAAAAATAATTGAATGTATTTGACAAAATATAGGCATCTAAAAGTGAAATGTATTTTAAAAGTGAGAAGACTCCTAGACTCCTAGAGGGTTTGAACTACTATATGGTATTTTCATCTTTAGATTATGAATAGCATGAATGAGATGATAACAATAGTAACAATAAATTCACTGTAAGTTCTTATAATTTAGAAGACACCATTCTAGAAGCTTTCAAGAATTATCTCATTAATTGTTACTTCAATCCTATGAAGTGAATATTATGATCATTTCTAATTTTATGCATGAAAATTTAGATTTAAAGAATATGACTTCCCGGCTGGAGGTGGTGGCTTATGCCTGTAATCCCAGCATTTTAGGAAGCCCAGGCAGGCGGATCATGAGGTAAGGAGATGGAGATCATCCTGGCTAACATGGTGAAGCCCCATCTTTACTAAAAATACAAAAAAATAGTAGGGTGTGGTGGCACGAGCCTGTAGTCCAAGCTACTTGGGAGGCTGAGGCAGGAGAATCGCTTGAACCTGGGAGGTAGAGGTTACAGTGGGCCGAGATTGCACCTGGGTGACAGAGCAAGACTCCATCTCAAAAGAAAAGAAACACACACACACACACACACACACACACACACACACACACACAGAGTATAACTTTCCAAGGTGACGATAAACATTGATATAATAGTTTATAATTTTTCCTAACTGTATAAATTATACAACCAGTGGAAAGCCAAAATACTTTGATGATTTCTGGGTTCAGGAGATAGTGCCTTTTGTAGCCACAGAGTTTAGATCTTGTAGATATATGTGTTTGACTGAGGGAAGTGGAAGTTCTCTAACTGGGATATCATACCGGAATGATTGATTACCTGTGCAATCTCTCACCATTGGAAGAGCCTATCTACCTGGAAATACAAGATTAAGGTTTGCAAACCCATTTGGGTAAATGTGTCTCAAGATTTTAACCTATTTACTCATAGTAATATTCACATTTGCCACCTAAGTTTTACACACAAGACAACCAAGGAATAGACATAGGTTGCAAGTGGTCACAGGTTGACCTAAAAACCTAGATCAGTAAACCAGTGGGGCTGTCCTTAGAATAGTGAGGAAAAGAAGTGTAAATAAGACTTCAGCTGATATAGTCATTGAATACTTCTTGAATCTGTCCCACACACTGGTCCAGGCCGTAGAAATTGAGCAGTATAGTAGCAGAGATCAAATAACCCACTGCCATCATGAAGCTTACATTGATGGAATTAAAGACTTTATATTTAAAATAAAAAATAATATGGAAACTTGAGGTAATGAATGTCAGTTACAATGGTTCATACCTGTAATCTCAGCACTTCAGAAGGCTGAGGTGGGAGGATCATTTGAAGCCGGGAGTTTAAGATCAGCCTGGGTAATGTAGCAAGATTTCGTCCCTACTAAAAAATAAAATTAAATTAAAAATTAGATGGGCATAATAGTCCCAGCTACTTAGGAGGCTGAGGTGGGAGGATTCCTCGAGCCCAGGATTGGAGGCTGCTGTGAGCTATGATGGCACTATTGCATTCCAGCCTTGGTGACAGAGCAAGACCCTGTCTCTGAAAGACAACAACAAAAACTTCAGGTAAAAGTAAACATTTCCTTTCATGTCAAAAGACCACATATTGCAATGGGACTAAAATCACATGAAACTTATCAATAAAATTACGCTTCTATCAGAATGAAAGTGAGGACAGGAACAGGTAAACATGGTTATTTTCTCTCTGGACCCATCATAGAGGGTAGCCACCAGAGGGCTACCTAGCCATACTGAGGTCACATACCTAGGTAACAGGATACAGAACGTTCTCCCATCTCCTTCTTTTTCCCACCTGTGAACTTAACACTCTGAAATTTAGCATCTAGAAGTATCTAAATGAAGACAAACATATAATTTTTGCCCCTGAGATCCTACAAGGAAGCAATGGTCTCCCCCTTTTGGACTGGAATTGGACATATCTCTGGAGCCATAAATCAGAGTCACATAGATGTCACAGCCAACTTTTGTGTTGTATTTTCTGTTTTGGTTTTTAATTTTGTCAAGGAAAATTGTTGCTTGTTCTAAAGATTATATCCACTGCTCTAAAACAAAAATATCGAGTTAAAAGGAAACCTGCCTTTGTCTCAGATGAGGTTTCTATTATCTTCTTTGTCCCCAGGCTAAACCAGATGTAATTCCTTTTTTTTTTTTTTTTTTTTTTTTTCAATTGAAAAATATCCCACGTTTATTATTTGGAAGATTTAATATTGTTTGTTTGTTTTTTCAATTAGAAATGACCACTTCTGACCATAATGAAGAAGATAGCTGTCAAGTAAGGATGTACACAAAAGGACCCTCTGATTTGACCTGAACTCACAGAAAAATATTAATTTTATATATGAAAATTAGTGTTCTTTCCATTCTTATTCAATTTAATTGCTTGGATTCAACACACACGCTAGCCAAACCACAGTCATTAATTTTGCCCAGATATGGCATGAAATGTCTCTGTTTCACCCCTTGTATATATGACAAAGCCCTATTCTTCAAGGTTAGCTTAAACCTCATTCCCTCATCTTCCCTGGCAGTGGAATCACTTCCTCTTCTGTGACTTACAGCATTTATATACCATTACCTAGTGACTATCGAACCCACAGTAAGAGAAAGTTAAAGCTGAAGGGTTCTCTCAGACTCTCATTTGCCCAACTGGCTGAATCAGAAAGCTTTGTAAACATTGAAAAATGCAGATTTTTAGGTCCCAGTTGCAGGTTTAGAAGGTTGGGATGGAGCACAGAAATCTGTTCTACAAAAGTTCCTTGAGATGATTCTGGTGAACAGTTGGGGTAGAAAACCACTCTGCTCATGGAAACCTCTCCTTTCTCAATGAAGAAATCAGAAATTGAGTGGTTTGTTCAAAGGGACAGAGAGTAAATCGCAAATTCAGTACTTGGACTCTGTACCTTTTGACCGTACCATCTTATGTTTCACTCAGACACCATATTGTTATGGATTGGTTCATCATGCGATATCCATCTGCAGAATCATCCTCAGTTCTTTAAGGACACTAGAGACTAGGGGAAAGATTCCAGATTAGATGTCAGCTGTTTGCCAACTAGATGACCTGAGTATGTGATGGGAATCTACAGCCTCGCTTCATCTGGTAAACTGGGACAGTAATTCTTACTCTGCCTTAGCCACAGGATGATATGCATGGAGAATGAGTTACAAACCGTAAATGACGCTGGGTATGGTGGCTCACACCTGTAATCCCAGCATTTTGTGAGGCCAAGAAGGGAGGATCACTTAAGCCCAGGAGCTTAAGACCAGCCTGGACACCATAGGGAGGCCCTGTCTCTAGAATAAAATAGAAAAAAATGTCCAGGAGTGGTGGTATATACCGATAGTCCCAGCAACTTGGGAGGCTGAGCTGGGAGTATCACTTGAGGGCAGGATTTCAAGGCTGCAGTAAACTGTGACTGCACCATTACACTACAGCGTGGGTGACAAGTCAAGACCCTGTCTCAAAAAATATATATATTATAAATAAACTATAAATGACACTACAAATATAAAAGAGCAATACTAATGACAAATAATAATACATATAATGAATGCATTGATAATAACAGTGAAAGTTAGAAGTGATTCTTTTAGCACAGAGATAAGAGATTAGCCCATGACTCAGGCCAGGTATCACAGATTATCTGTCTCCTAGTGGGACTAATTAATGCAAGGTCTAAAGTTTGGTCTGTAACTTTGCCATTTTAGTTTGTTCTGTGGACCAAACTCTGAAGTACTGATTAGTATCATGGTCTAGCTGTGGAAAGCTCTCTGATAACCCTGGAGAGTGCTAGACAGAATAAATACAATTTTGCTTTTGGGTTTTCCGTTGCCCAAACCAGTGGTACAAATATGAAGATGTCTTTTGGAAGGGAAAAGTAAAAATTATAGATTCCCCTGTAATAGGGAAACTCAGTCTTAAAATCCAAGATCACTGTCTTGTTTCTAAGGCGTTTTTACTTTGGGACTTGTTATAAACCTAGGTTATTTTGTTTTGCCTGCATGTTAATCTTGATGGATTAAAAAATTCCCCAAGTAACATATTGAGATTTCAAAAAGGTCCTTAATTTTAGCAGCCCCTTTATAAAGCTGTCAGGTACAGTAGATAACAATAGTAATCACTATTTCCCTCCATTTTAAACTGGAATTTACTGATAGTAGTTTTAAAGAGTAACCATTCCTGAACTTTTCCCCTCATTCTAGGGGAAACCATGTTGGTGCCTGTCTATAGCTACTTATGGCCTCTCTTTTTTGAATGAGGTAAAAAGAAGCTGAGAGGCAAGACAACAAAAGCAAATAACCCTAGTGTTTAGTTAATTCTCACACTGCTGTAAAGAAACGGCTCAAGCCTGTAATCCCAAGACTGTGCCAGGCAGAGGTGGGCGGATCACGAGGTCAGCAGATTGAGACCATCCTGGCCAACATGGTAAAACCCCGTCTCTACTAAAAATACAAAAGTTTAGCCGGACGTGGTGGTGGGCGCCTGCAGTCCCAGCTACTCCACAGACTGAGGCAGGAGAATCGCTTGAATCCGGAAGGCGGAGGTTGCAGTGAGCGGAGATGGCACCACTACACTCCAGCCTGGGTGACAGAACAAGACTCTGTCTCAAAAAAAGAAAAAAGAAAGAAAGAAAGAAAGAAAGAAAAGAGGTTTGGTTGGCTCGTGGTTCTGCAGGCTGTACAGGAAGTGCAGCGGCATCTGCTTGGTTTCTGGGGAGGACTATGGAAACTTACAATCTTGGCGGAAGGCAAAGGAGCAGAAGGCACGTTTCAACATAGAACAGAGGCAAGGAGAGAGCTGAGAGGTGCTACACACTTTCATAGGAAGTCACTCACCATCATACAGTACCAAGGGGGATGGTGATAAACCATTCATGAGAAACCACCCCCATGATCCGTCACCTCCCACCAGGCCCCACCTTTGACATTGGGAATTACAAAGGAACATGGGATTTGGGTGGGGGTACAGATCTAAGACATATCACCTAGGAATCATCCCCACCTTCAGTTAAAGCAGTCTCCGTGTTTACAAATGAAATTAGCTACTTAACACCAATCTTTTCAACAGTGCTGCTGTCCGATAGGAGAATCATTGAGTAAAATGCCATTAATTGCAAATAATAAAACATTGTTAATTCAGATCACATAACAAGAAGTTTGAGTTCTGTCTCCAAAACCTTACTTTTGTAAGGTTTTTGTTTTTCTGTCTCCAAACTCCTTACTTTTGTTTATTTATTTATTTTTACCTAGTACCCAGGGCATCATTATGTCTCTGCTGTCATAGGTCTTTAGATTCTCGCTGTCATTAGCAGAAAATTTAATTCAATTTATGTATTTATTTAGAGATAGAGTCTCAGTCTGTTGCCCAAGCTGGAATGCAGTGGTGTGGTTATGGTTCATTGTAGCCTCAAACTACTGGCCTCTAGCAATCCTCCTGCCTCAGCCTCCCAAATCCCTGGAATAGCATGCTTGTGCCACCACATCTGGCCTTGGAATATGATGTTATAAGAAAGCTGTTTCTTTATTAAAGTTTTTTGAAAAGAGGAAAACTAAATCAGTGGACTGAGCCAAGAGTTAGGAGACCCAGACTCTCTTCCCTCTGTTGCCTCAGTTTCTATCTTTGCAAAATAAGGAAACTTGACTAGCTTGTCTTTAAAACCTGTACTTGCTCAGACATTCTATGATGGTGACTTGAGATGGAGGTTCAGTGAAAGATTCTTGTTTCAACACTTTGTATACATTTAACAAATTTTCATTGAGTACCTATTATGCATCAGGACCTGCTCTAGGAAATGTGGTTACAACAATGGACAAAACAGACAAATCCAAGTCCTCATGTAGTTTACATTCTAAGGCCTATAAAATGTTGTTTCTTTGAACACATAAAATGTGTTTTCCCAGTTTGGGCAGAAACAGGATTTCTGATGGGCCTGAAGAACTAAGGATTGAAAGGAAATGGAACTCATGATACACTTTCCAATTTTGTACTTTCTCTTTCTGTATCTCCTTACTTTCATGTCTTGTCCTACTCCTAGAACCATGCAGATTCTAAATTTTACACATTTTGCTACCAGTAAATAGTTATCTATTATGTAGTTAAACTGTGTTAGGTATAGGGACCCAGAGCGAGTAAGACATAACACATGCCTTCAAGAATCTAACGATCTCATTGTGGAAACAAAACTCACCTATGTAAAAAAAATGCTAATTCAAATATCAGAGGCTGAGAGCCAGCAATATGGCCTGAACAGTTGCATGCCCTATCAGGAGAGACTCACTAAAAGTTAGTAGGACTCAGTCATAATTTTCAGCGCACATAAAGCTTGAGCTTGAGTAACATAGGTAGTTTTCAGATTTTAAAAGCAATTTTCAGTAAATGCAAGTAAAGATATGGTCCACAAAATAAGAATAGGATATAGCAAGACACATTTCTTATTCTTCTGACAAACAGTACACGGTTCATCACTTTATTGACAAGATTTATTGATGTGACTATTGTGATGTCATCAACAATGGCTTTGAAGTTCAGAGCATAGAGCTGATGGTGGGAACTGACTTGAAAGGCTTTGCATTGAAGGAATGATGATTAGGTTTCTAACGTATTATTAAATCATGTCCAGCCAACAAAAGAGATGCGGTCTGCAAAGGTATACACAATAACTTTGTGCCTTGCCGTGGTGCTTTCTGATCTCAAACAAGAAACTTCTTGGCTTGTATTGCTGGTGGTTGGATGTGTTCTGAACCACAGCTGGGCTCATGCACATAACAAAGTCTGATTCCCAGGAATCTTTTTAGGAAACACCTCCCAGATTAGGTAATATTTACCTACTTGTCCTCTTTGAACAGTACCCCTACTGATTCTTTACCCTAATGAAGTTCATGTCCCAACCCACGCTCTTTTCCTGTAACAATTAAGTCAGTTTCATTTTGCCAAGCTTTTAGTGGTGACATGATTAAAAAAAAAACTGGATGTGATGGTTGACTTTTGGAAAGTTTCCAACAAAAAAAATCTTAGTAGCTTTCTGAGTCTCAGCTTGTTTCTTCCTAGTTCTGTGTATGCTGAGATGAAAGTGGTGTGGGAGACTGAATTTACCACTTGTGCTGAAGCCGCAGTTGTTAGCACTGGGGACATTCATTGTTACATGGATATCAGTTGAGCTGGGATTAGGAAGCCGCCTGTCTCCTCAAGCTTGTTAGGATTCAGTCACTTGGAAAAGAACAAAAACATACTTTCAGATGAGGATTGTAATGACCAGGTGACTTGAAAACCAGGTACGGCTTAGTCAATGAGAAACATGAAATGAAATTTCCAATCAGAATTCTCATTAGCCTTTTCAGCACTCCCCAGATCGATGTTCCTTTTGATGTCTTTGCCACAGCAGCCTCACCTATGTAAATATTGCAAATCTTACTCCTTACAGTAAGTTGCAGAACTTTTAAGGGTTGTGAACCTTACATATGTAAGTGAATCAAGTATACTTGAAAAGCCTCTCTGTTGACATAAGTAATTAGATTATTGGACAAAGATCTGATCTAGTTATTTTGTTAGTATGTATGTGTGCCAAAGCCAAGAGAGGATATGTTATTAATTAGCAAGCAAAATTTCTAATGTAGGGGTTTTCCCCCATAGCCTGGAACTATGGCTGGCCCTCTGGCAGTGTTTCATAAATGCTTGTTGAATTAATGAATGTATTCACAGGCATCTTTTAAGTGGCTATAGTGACATTAAGAACAAATAGGGTCACAGAGTGTCATTGCCTCCTCAGGCTCTGGGTCCAGAGGGATGGGTCAGGAAACACCTCACAGTAGAGGATACACATTGTTTTTGAGACATTTAGTTCATCCATTTGGTTACTGATTAGAAGAA